CGCCCCCCCACTTTGACCCCTAGTGCCTGCTCTTCCACCACCTCCAGTGGAACTGCCAGGGGCTGGAGTCCGAGGGCGAGGAGCAGCGCACCGCCTTGGACTGTACAGCAGTGCATGGCCCCCTGCATTGTGGGGGCACAACGTCGCCGAAGTGCAGAGGAGAAGTTCGCCCGCACAGGTAGTGCTCGCTTCGTTTTTTTTCTGCGCCCCCGCCCTCCTGTGTTCCGCGATAGCGAGCTCACCCTGTGCTTTGTCTCGTTTTCTCAACGTCTTTCGCTTTTTCAAAGACGGGGACGGAGGCAAGTACTCGTCGTCCTCCGCATGGCGAGCTCTCAGCACGCACTGAAATCACATCGTGAGAGATTGACAACAACCCTGGAGATGTTCGGGGAGGGCGTCTCTCTCTCTCTCTCTGCGTCACACAACTGTTACCCCTGGTTAATACTTGCCCTCTGTCTCTGTGTAGGTCACCAGTCGTCTTCGTCTTCCTCCTGCAGTGTGCTACAGTGCCCCGAGTCCTGCACCTGCAGCAACAACATCGTGGACTGCAGAGGGAAGGGCCTGACGGAGATCCCCACCAACCTGCCCGAAACCATCACTGAGATGTAGGGCTCACACACACACACACACATATACACATTCAACCTGCTGTGCTTTACGTGCACCACCGGCGCCCTGCTGGCATACGCACTCATGGGGTCAGATCGGGCCCAATAATTGAGCCCGATCTGACCCGTAACACTCCCGCACTGCGCCGGCGGTGCACTGGTATTTGCCGCTTTCCCTCGTTCTCTCCGTGCTGAGGAGTAATAAAACCACATGTGTGTGAAATGAGAAAGCCCGCTCATGCAGCTCCTCCCTGCTCAAGACAATAACAAAGGGATGAGGCGGTAAAGAATAGGAAAATGAATGTGAAGAACAAGACTAATCGTATCTCTATCTCTGAAACGAAGGGGGGGGCATCAAGCTTTAGAGGGCGTAAGTACTAAGCAGAGACGAGACGTGGCTCCAACAACATTCACGTCTCAACTTCTGGTAATAAGCAATAAAAACAGGAGCACAGAGTCACGTGGTAAACATGATGCACTGGGTTCGTCCATTGGAGGGAGTGATGTAGAATAAAGCTTTGAATGGAAGATGTTCAAATGCCGCGTCGGTGGCGAGCGGTGGACCTCCAGACCTGCTCGGACATTTGTTCTCCCACTGACAACCATTTACAACTTGTGTGAATGAATATTGAACTGCACCTGCATAGCGCTCTCCGTCAAGCTCTCGCCTCCGTTCACACACTAAGTGGCGAGGACACTGTGAGTTGGAGATTTCACCCCGACCCCGACCACGCGACTAGTGCACCATGCAGCGTTCTGGATTAGGACTTGGCTGATTTCATTTGAGATCCAACTTGAGAGCCGCTTTGAAGAAAACTTCAGCTCTTGACTTTAGTTGCCGGGATGACTTGAGAGAAGCTCTGACGAGGCTTTGAGAATCAACTCGGACCGTCTCCATTGATTGATTGACCGGCTGGACTTGTCTCGATTAACTTGACCTGAACTTAAACGAGACTTGGACTTGAGACCTGCTTTCTCAAGAAATGCACTCTTCTAAACCAGGACAGAACCTTTTCCTAAACCAAAGTAAGGCCGAATGACAGTCACAAGGGGAAGTTGACTCACTCAAACCGCTGATCTTAAACCCGTCACCAGCGTCAATCGATTGAAGAAGTGGACAGAATACACGACATACTATATTAGAACACAAGTCTAGCGTGTTGTTGGGCCATGCGTGCTACTAATGAGGGAAGAGCCAGAGTGGAGCTGCAACGGAAGAGAAAAGCAAAGAGATTTTAGGGAAATGTTTCACATGGGATTGGTTGGTCTGTAGATCATGTTGCGCTGTCACGGTGACTGAACGTGTGAAATGCTCCGTTTTCCCTCCCCTTTCCCTCTGCTGGCCCGGCTCGCTCTGACTCGGGACACCCGGTGGACCAGTGCCACGGGGGCTGCGTTTGTGTGCGCGCTTTGCACACGCTTTGTAGAGAGAACCGTGCCAGACGTCGGCAACAGGCTGCAAAGCTTCTTATCTGTGAACGTTCCCTAAAGGTCCAGAGGGGCCGAGCAGCAGTCAACGATACAGCAGAAATACAGGCCCAAGCTGGACCTCAACGCTCTGTGTGTGTCTCTGTGTGTGTGTGTGTGTTTGTGTGTGTGTGTGTGTGTGTGTGTGTGTGTGTGTGTGTGTGTGTGTGTGTGTGTGTGTGTGTGTGTGTGTGTGTGTGTGTTTGGTTCCAGACGGCTGGAGCAGAACGCCATCAAGGTGATCCCAGCCGGGGCCTTCGCTCCTTATAAGAAGCTGCGCAGGATGTGAGTAGATGGGGAGCAGCGTGCACCATGACTTCTGTTTCCATCCCGTCTGTATTGACCTCTCTCTCTCTCTCTCTCTCTCTCTCTCTCTCTCTCTCTCTCGCTCTCTCTCTCCCTCGCTGACTCGTCTCTCTTTGGATCCTCTCTTCACAGAGACTTGAGCAACAACCAGATATCCGAGCTGGCATCGGATGCCTTCCAAGGTCTGCGCTCCCTCAACTCCCTGTGAGTGCTGCGTGATGCATTCGTACTTAGGATGAAACAGCGCGACCCTTTGAGTCGCACGAGGAACATCCACCGCCGAAGCCGCGACTTCCGTCTGTCGTGTGAACTTTGCACTCGCGAGTTGATTTTTGGGACCCTGGAACACATTGACGTCCCGATAACCTCCACTTCTTATATTCAGTCCTCTCCTTATAGCTGTGAACTACTGTGGCCTTATTTCAAAGGCCCATGTTAACATATTGTGAGTAACATTTACAAAAAGCCTTGTGTGGGAGCTGCTCTCCTAATAATAGAAACCTCCTTTCTGTTTTATACGTTTTGTTTTGTGTTTTTATTTTCAAAAAGTTGCATTCATCCTTGAATCTCGGCTCCACTCTAATGAAGCGGGTTGAGGGGAAGGTCTCTCATCTAGTAGCATCCAGCATCTACTTTGCGTGTGAAGCGCCAGAGGAGGAGCAGGACAGGCAGTGAGGGACGCCGAGTTAGTTCACGCAGGAGTTATATTAAGGTCCCGTCCCTCCAAAGTCAATAATTCATAAATGCTGAACTGCTGAATGGAGGCTTCTGCCGCCTCATTACACACTCGGCACGGAGAGGATGGGACACGCGTCCATGCTGACACACCAAAAGCGTTAAAGGCTGCGTGCTCGTGTCAGGGACCGGGACGGGGGGGTCGTAAATGAGCAATCGATTCTGTGCCTCTGTGTGTGTGTGTGTGTGTGTGTGTGTGAAAGCTGACGTGCTAAAGCGCGTGTGGGACGTAAATGAGGCGTCCACTTCACCGCGTTGTGCGTTTCTCAACCTCAGGCCACTCAGCACAATCTGAAACACGTGTCTTTAGGCTTCCTAAGTACACAGCTGGAGCGTTAACATGTCAGATAGCGCTCCCAGTGCGCGCGTGTGTGTGTGTGTGTGTGTTCGCTGGGCGAGTCAGTGGCAGCCTCGGCCAGGACATGTTTGGTGTATTTATAAAGAGCCTCGCCGCGTGCAGAGGCAGATTAATGGGGGAGTTTTGTTACGGTGACATTTTGTACTGGATGTCCTTTGTGTTTTTTCAGTCTCGCTTATGATTTAGTTCCGTGTACATCGAAGCCGCTTAACAGTCATATCTCCATGTGCCTGACACATAATCAAATGATGAATAAAGCTCTGCTCGTTTCAAGCATTAAATAATCATTTACATATCAGGAATCCTTTGATAGATGTTTATCTTTTAATGGCTTAATTTAAGAAAAATAACTTTGAAAGAAGAGCCTGTTTTCGGCTCTGAATAAATATGGATTTCATGTTTGGTAAAAGTTTTGCAAATGTTCCCGTCAGTAACAGTAACATTCATAACTTATCACTGCAGTGTTTGTGCTCCACAGGGTTCTGTATGGGAATAAGATCACAGAGATCTCCAAAGCGCTGTTTGAGGGACTGTTTTCTCTGCAGCTGTTGTGAGTAGACACACACACACACACACACACACACAGAACGTTGGCGTCGATATTCTGCTGAAAAGTCACGCCGTGACCCGTAACGCTTCCTCCGTCTCTCAGGCTGCTGAATGCTAATAAGATAGCGTGCCTGCGCGTGGACGCCTTCCAGGACCTCCACAACCTCAACCTGCTCTCGCTGTACGACAACAAGCTGCAGACCATCGCCAAGGGGACCTTCTCGTCGCTCAGAGCCATACAAACACTGTGAGCGCACACACACACACACACAGCCCCTATAGGGGTGCATGATGAGAAGGTGTCAGTCATCACTTAGACATCGATTATATTTTCTAAATAATGTAGCACAAAAAATGCATTTTATGTTTTTTTATAAGGAAATCCAGCATACCAATTCAACCACACAAATCTCCCATAATTTTGAACAGAAATAATAATAATAATAATGTTGTTTTGGCATTAATTGGTCAGTTAAGAAGGAAGTAAAGAGTCCATAATCATTTGTCTGGGTTCCTCCAAAGAAAAACCTCACAAAATGCTCACATGCTCACAAATAAATGTTGTTCTGACAACTCCATGTCTTCTTCATTCTGTGTGTGTGTGTGTGTGTGTCAGTCACTTAGCCCAAAACCCGTTCATCTGCGACTGCCACCTGAAGTGGCTGGCCGACTACCTGCAGGACAATCCCATCGAGACGAGCGGCGCTCGCTGCACCAGCCCGCGGCGGCTCGCCAACAAACGCATCGGACAGATCAAGAGCAAGAAGTTCCGCTGCTCAGGTACGGAACCCGGCGTGTTTGCCAGCAGCCCGCCGGGCTTTGCTGACCGCGTCCTGCGCACACGCCCAGGCTGTGAGAATCCACATGATCCTCCAGGTCTCATTCTGTGTCTCCCTGCTGGGCTTTTCCCTCGGCCTTTCTTTACTAACCTCAGCAGTCTCTCTCTCTCCCTCATTGCCCTACACACACACACACACACACACACACACACACACACACACACACGCACACACAATGAGTACTTTTGTTATTTTGTTGTGTGTGACTTTTACTCTCTCTGTCTCTCCATTAGCTAGAGAACAGTATTTCATCCCACGTATTGTGCATTGAGCATGTGTGTGTTTGTGTGTGTGTGTGTGTGTGTGTGTGTGTGTGTGTGTGTG